AGATCACGTGCAAGAACAAATACGTGGATTTGCAAAATAGGAAACTGCCACTAAGATCAAAGCCAGAAATTTGAATGAAAAAGCCATGAATTTGAGCAGATCGATACTGTGAAATAATACTATGTTTCTTTTGCAAGTGCAATGAGCTTCCTTTTTTGGCAGTATTTGAAATGAATGGGAATACATGAATGCTGGTTGCTTTAAGTATGTGTGGTAGGAGGTGATACTTGAAAAGACGGTACAACTTGGTAGTGTTAGGTTAACGGCTGGACTTGATCTTACAGGTCTTTTCTAAGCTACATGATTCTGTGAACTGTAGTGGCTGGTTTTATGTCAAAGTTTCAGACTGCAGAACCTGTGTATCAAAGTTGATTGAGTCAGAATTGTATGGAAGAGTTTGAAGAAAAAAAAGCTACAAAGTAATTTTAGGATGTTAAAATAAAACTTCAGGGCTCATTTGTCATCTTGAGTAATTTTTATGGATTAGCATTCTCTAGCTCGGTAGGCAAGAAGGCTATTTGGTGTTCTCTTTTCTGCAGCAGCAGCAAGTAGGGATGGGAAAAACTGCGAGAAAAGTCTAGAAGGTACAGGTGATTCTTTATAGTCATTAAATGAAGAGGGTCAAGATGACGCTCTCTTCATGTGGTAGCTTTTTTCAGTCTTGCCTGTAATGAGAGGGACTGTGGCAGTGCTTATGTATAATGAGTGTAACTACACATTTAGTATTTGGTATGCATCATGTGCCATTACTCTTTGATGCTTATCCTTCAAGATAGCTCTTTCCAAGGGTTTTTAAAAGATTTGGTTTATATCCACTTTGTAGTAGATATCTTTAGACTTGTGTTGTATTTAAATTCTTGCTCTGCATTGAAATATTCAAGTGTCTCATTTTCTGCTGTGTTTCTTAACTTGTTTTAGGAAAGATCGTGACCGGGACAGGGACCGTGATGACCGTTCTAAAGATCGCGACAGGGATCGTGACAGAGATAGAGATCGTGACAGAGAAAGGGACAAGGAAAAAGATTTGCGACCTTCGTCTAACTCTACCTATTACGCAGCTGCTGGGTTACAAACCATAAAACCAGCTATGATTCCACACAGTATTAACCCTTTCACAAATCTACCACATACACCACGATACTATGACATCCTGAAAAAAAGGCTACAGCTTCCTGTTTGGGAATATAAAGAAAGATTTACAGATATTTTGATTAGACATCAGTCATTTGTGCTGGTTGGAGAGACTGGGTCTGGTAAAACAACACAGGTGAGTTTATCTGTGTGATACTGCAGTTTCCTAAAAGTTGGGACTGTTGCTAGGTGAGGGTGTGTAAAGCTTGCTTTGATTTCTTGAGCTTCATTGTGTAAGAACAAGTCACAAAGTGTGAGCTAGACTAATTTGATGAATTTTTTTATTTGCTTAATGAATACAGAAGTGTCCCTGCTTCTATTAAGTTTTATGATTGGTGCTTAACTTTTTGATACAGGAAGATAGAGGTCTTAATGGCTAGACGGAAGTGTACTGATGCACAAACTGAAGCAATGATTCCAAGTAGCGTATTTAGCTGTTTCTGTACATAGCAGCTGGAAAGTAAGAAAAATACTGTTAGTGTTTGAATCTTACAGCTGCAGATAAGAACTTAAAGGCAATTGAAATGTCAGATGCAATTCTGAAATTATCTGATTGGATCATGTGTTTTGGTGGTACTGAAATTTAAGAGGAAGAGGCTTTTGTGTCTTTGTGGTACTGAAACTTCTCAGAGGTCATACAGCTTTCCAGTGCTGCAGTCAAAAATTACATTTTTTTTTTTTTTTTTTTTTTTTTGTAGATTTGTGGCTTTAGAAGTCTTTTTCAGCACTAAAAATAGTGATAGCAGATCTCAGAGCCTCCTTAATCCTTAGAAGAATTTTGGAGATCAGTAAAGAGGGAGGATCTAAGATAAAAGAAACACCACTGTATATTTATAACTGGACAAATTTGCTCAAAACTTTAGCCTGTCCTCTGATTTGCAGTTTAAAATCTGTGTGGAAAAGTGATGTAAAAAATTTCCTTGTTCTGTGCCCTGATAAATTCCTTTTATCTAGGCAGAAAATAAAAACTGAAGGGTACTTTAGTCTTTATGAAAGAGGTTATAGCTAACTTACAGTAAGTCTTATAGAAATAAATCTTTAGTCATAAAATAAAATTTGGATGTTGAAAATGTGAAGGACATAGTAGTACATTGGATACCTTTTAGAGCTGTGTCTGAAATGTTTGAAATTACATGTCCTTGCTGCAGTTTTTAAGAACCAGTGTCTTGCTTGCAAGGTACATTATGGCATTACACGTATTACTTTATTTTTAATCATTTATAAACTGAGATGGGGCTTTTATAGAATTCTTCAGAAAAGCTTGATTATGTAATTACTTGGAAGGGAGAATTCTGAACATTCATGTAAAAAAGCTGATGCTTATCTGTATGAAAGCAAGATTTCTTTTTGCATGATCTGACAACTTGAACATCTAAAGGGTGTGTGTTCTTAATGTCCACTTAAACTTCCACAGACATAAAGCTTTTCCTCAGTTGTTCTACTACTTTACCACTTAAGTTTCTGAAGGCTTTTTCAGAAAATAAGACATCTTTCCTAAAAATGGGCTTTAGCACATAAGCTATCTTGGAAGCTTCACTGCTTCCTCTGAATTCTCTCTCTGAGAGTGCAGATATGTTTTGAAACAATTGAGAGTGTCTCTGCGTGAACACAGAGCTGAAAATGATCCTGCTGCCACTTAGTGAAAACCTTGTTTTCATAGAATCGTAGAATAGTTAGGGTTAGAAAGGACCTTAAGATCATCTAGTTCCAACCCCCCTGCCATGAGCAGGAACACCACACACTAAACTATGTTGCCCAAGGCTCTGTCCAGCCTGGCCTTTGCAGGTGATAGTGTCACATCTTTTCTGTGCTATCTTGAAACCAGTTGGGGGTGGTGGTTTTTCGTCTCCTTACATTCACTGATCAGACCAAGATGATTAATTACCTGTGATTAAGAAACCTTTTAATGCTCAAACTGAAGGTGTACATGAACTACTTAGGCTTGCTCTTACTGATATAAAGTTGGCATTATTTGGAATACATAATGAATTGTTCTTCCAAAATTATCTTCTCTTGCATGATGATACGTTAAAGTCTCTACAGTAGTAGATAATCTTTTTGGGATTCAGCTGCTGCCTGTCAAGTCCTTTCCCTGGTTATTCCATGCGCACTTTCTCCTTAGAGCATCCAGGTTTGGAAGTGCTTGGTTTTGACAATGGAAGTAACAGGAGATAAAACTTTGAGAAGGGTCTTCTTCCACATATGTTTAAACCTGAAGTGCTGAAGTAGTATGGTGGAATCCAAGGCTGTTAATTTTCAAGTCTTCATTGAAAGAAAACAACTCAAGGCACTGCAAATACTGATCTCTGAATATCCTCAGTGGTGGAATGGGTGTGTTGAATTCTTTTAGAAAGATACTAAGTACTTGGTATAATTGCAACACGTGCTCCCTTTTGAATGTGGGATCATATGTAGTACTGGTATAGTAGTTTCAATTTCTTTGGTAGATGGAATGGTAGAGTAGCATCTGCTTTTACACGAGAGCCCTAACTGTAAAGGATAGGATGTTTGTTTGTCAGCAAATTTTCTTTGCAGGTGAAACTCGGAAGCAAGGTGATTCTGAGTATAGCTTAATCTCCTGTGCTCTTGCAGTCCACAAGAGAACTGGTACAGGTCAAAGTCCAATGCCTTTTTGACTAGTGAAAATTCTGGGAATTTTACCATTCAGCTTTTAACAGAGAAAGCTTTCAATAAATTGAAGTGGCTCAGAAAAGCCACAAGGGCAGTGCTCTTCCCTCTCTTGCCCTGCATCCCTGTAAAAACATGGCTTTCCTTTGGCTTTGGAATAGTCTTCAACAGCCCTCAGTTCATTCATCTTTGATCTTAGAGGCCTTTGTGTAGTCCACGCCTTCTTACATTTGTGGAGGTTAGATTTGAAAATCTCTAAATTGAACAAGTCCTCGAGGTTAAAGGGTGCTAACTAAAGCTATTTCTCATGATTTTGGTATTGACAAAATTGGGGATTTTTTTAAAGGAAAGTCAAGGGGTTTTTTATTTGTAGGTTTTTGGTGTCAGTGAAGTTGAGGTTAGCTTTGTTCAGTTTTATAAGAACCAGATGGTAAGTGTTCTGTATATTCCCAGTCATGACTTAAGCAGAAAATGTTGCATGGCACAGGCCTTTTTCCTGGTGTTTGTGTTGGACACAAGAAGCATTGTGGTGGTCATCTAAATCCAGTTAACACATTGAAATCTATGTAGGCAGTTCATTAGACACCAGTGCTGCATGTGTTGCTGTTCATGGGAAAACCACTTCTAAATTATTTTTATTTCATGCTGTTTTCACTGACAGCCCTGCTGTTTTAACATTTATTTCAGGAGTTGCTCTGCTTAAAGTCCAGAAGCTTCATCTAATATATTTAGAGTTGGGTTTTTGTTAGGGACTTGGGAAGCAAATTCCTTCCTCTAGCTGCGTATTAGATGAGTGTGTATATGTTACGGGATGGGGTTTCAGGTTCCTGCTATTGATGTTCAAGAACTTAATTTGAGTTTTGAATAGGATTTTCAGAAGCTTGAGTTCTTGTCAGCAGCCTAATAGTCTCTTGTCATACTTTGATAGTCTTTGCTTGCTTTTTTTTTTTAATTTATAATGAAAATATGTTCTTCATTGACAAAAAAAAATAGTTTTTCATTACAGTCTGCACTTGTCTGCTTGTGGGTATGTTTTAGTGTTCACTTTTGTCCATTTTGCTGTGGAAATACGGTATTCTAGAAGAAAAATTTCCCTGGTTTAGATCACACAGCTTTTCTTGTTATTTGTCATCAGTGCAATGTATACAAGTGTCTTTTTCTTCTGCAAATGTGAGCTTTCAAGAATACTTGAAAAGCGATTACTGAGGAGTGGATTTTTCCAGTCTGTAGACTTGGAACTAGTTGTGCCTGGAGATGTCTTCTCATAAAATGTTGTACTGAGAAATGTTAAAAATACTCTTATTTTCATCGAACTGTTACTGACCTTAGAAATTCTTGTGAATAAAGCTTCTTATTTTGGATGACTTGCTGTTTCCAGATTCCTAACAAGAGCATAAAACTGCTGACTGACAAATGAGTGTCACCACATGAAGGAAAACAGAGGGGTTCCATACCTGGTTGATAAAATTTCAAAAGAACAATAACTAAATGATCATAACTATAAATTCATTCTATTTGCTGTGATTCCTGGCTAAGACAATTTTTTATATCACTAAAGTAATTCTTTTTGCTTAATGTATTAATAAAGAATTACTTTTTAAAGCCACAAAATGTAATATGTTTACTGCGAAGCTTAATGAACTGTGTTACAGATCTTGATTTTTTGAGTGTTAACTTCAGTTTTGGTTGCTTTGGAACATGTGCTTAAACTTACTGTGAACCTGTGTATTTCCTTAACTTCAAAAATGTTTAGGTACATGCTTACTGTGAATGTGCTTTATTTAGTGGCACTGGGTCCAACTAAGTAGTCTCTGTCTCATGCTTTGGATATTTTTGTGTATGCAGTTGACATCTCAGTGAAGTTATAACTAACTTTATTTGATACGGTACAAAGGTTACAGATTACATCTGGTCACTTAAGTTGTTTTTAAAACTGAATTTTGTTCTTGTCAGATCCCTCAATGGTGTGTTGACTACATGCGCTCATTACCTGGACCAAAAAGGGGAGTGGCATGTACCCAGCCTAGGAGAGTGGCTGCAATGAGTGTGGCACAGCGGGTTGCTGATGAGATGGATGTCATGCTGGGCCAGGAGGTTGGTTACTCTATTCGATTTGAAGACTGCAGCAGTGCAAAAACAATTCTGAAGTAAGTATGGCAACTGTCAGGTAAAGTTGTAACATGGCCTACTTGGGGTGTGTAGCAGAGTTGCAGGGTAGTGAAGGGTGTGAGCGAAGTTTTATAGAAGTGGTTATGAGGATGGGGGAGAATATATGCATGAGCACTGTGTATGAGTGGAGAAGAGGCAGGAGCCATAGCATGAGCTGAGAGAAATCTGAGGTGTGGGGCTTGAGTAGAACAGATACTGAGTCATTCCTCCTAAAGAGATCGCTGCACCCTATGGAAGTTAATTTTAAGTGATCCATAGAGAAGAGAGTGATCTGAAGAATTATTTCTGTGGTCAAGGTGCTATTCAGAATGAAGCCCTTCAGCATTCAGTTTCTCTCTGTGTTAACACATTCAGCTGAGCTTTCAGTGGTGTTGTCCTACTTGGGGTAATGCTGGTGAAGCTCAGTAGCTTGCTTCAGTAAGGGGAACTACCACAAAGTTGTCAAAACTGGCCTATACCTTGCTCAGGGACACACAATCCATAGTGTTTTAGTTGTCGGCTGTTTGTGGATTCCTGTATTGTATGGGTGGAACTAGACTTGCCGATATGTCATTTGCAGGTGACATTCAGAATGCTCAGTTAAAAAGGATTCCACATACTGTAGTTCAAGGAATAGTGCTTCTCTATCAAAAGATGTCTTCTCTTTTGCTCATACAAGTAGTTGAAGGCTGGAAATAAAGTCAATATGTGAAAAGCAAAATTAAGATTTTTAACTGGTGGAAAAGCATAAAGTGCACCGGTGATCTGCAAACAGAAAGGGGAGAAACAATTTCAGAAATAGGACTTCTAGGATTTCAGAGTGTGTTTTTCCCTTTATTTTCCTGTCTCTGGTTTGTAGGCCTAGAAGCCTGGCAGTAAACATCTACAGACCAGTTATAAATGTTGCTAAACTTTGTTGCTCCCTCCCTTTTTTCTTTTAATAAACTTCTCCCCCCTGCTTCCAGATCTCACTTAGACTTGCAGAAATCTACGTGGAAGCTTGAAATTTGAAAATAGTTTAGTGATATTTGTGTTTAAAAAAAAAAAGCTGATTAAAAGCTTAGTGAAAGCAATCTAGTAAACAGTACAGAAGAGGATTCTGTATCAGATGTCATTCAATAAAATCTGTGTAAAAATTGGTTTTGTTTGTGTTCAGGTATATGACTGATGGGATGTTACTTCGTGAAGCAATGAATGATCCTTTGCTGGAGCGCTATGGTGTTATAATTCTTGACGAGGCCCATGAGAGAACACTGGCTACTGATATTTTGATGGGAGTCTTGAAGGAAGTTGTAAGACAAAGATCTGATTTGAAGGTCAGTAATGATTAAGCTCAGCAGCATCCCCTTTCTAGTTGCAGGCATACCAAATAAGGGATCTGTGTGCTTACCATTTAGCTGTTTTTTATGATCAACTGAAGTAGATAAACTTTTATGATCTACTGATGATCCATATTGGAAAGATAACCTTAGGAAACTCTTAAAGCAGTTTTTACTGAGGAAAATACTGGAAACAATGTAATTGTAGCTTAACCTTTCTCTATTTGACCAGGATTGGTTTTAGACCTTTGTAACAAGGGTGCTGTGTTCAGGTGGTAAAAGAGTGCTTAAATCAGTCAACAGTTGAGTTTAGTCTCTTACATATTGTAGGCGTAACGTTTCACAAGTTCTTGTTAATTTTTGGAGTGACTTTTTTTTTTTTGTCCTCTAAACCTGCAGGTTATAGTTATGAGTGCTACTTTAGATGCTGGCAAGTTTCAGATCTATTTTGATAACTGTCCCCTTCTGACTATCCCGGGTCGCACCCATCCTGTGGAGATATTCTATACTCCAGAACCAGAAAGGGACTACCTTGAGGCTGCCATTCGAACAGTGATCCAGATTCACATGTGTGAAGAAGAGGAAGGAGATCTTCTACTCTTCCTTACTGGACAGGAGGTAGGTTTTCTTTTTCTTCACCCATTCGTCGTTCCATGCAGAAACTGTTCTCAGTGGTTTGTGTAGACTGAAAGCTTAGTTTCCTTTCCTGGTTTATTATTTGAATGGCCTGAGATTTTTCTACCTGCCATACACTTTTAAGTCCTTAGTAATTGTATTTGTCTGTGATCTGCATATACTATGCAAGCTCTCTCTAAAGTGAAAATTCTCATCTTACTCATGTACTTTTAAAATAGAAATATAGAGTATGAACCAGTTCTATGCTGATGTGAACTTCGAAGTTCTGGGTACCCGGTAGCATCTGTGTTTTTATTGAAAGTGTAGGTCTGTGCTCTTCTGGGTATGTATTGTACAACTTATCTAAAAAGTAACTTTGGTTCTGCTCCTTAGCTATCAGTAGTAGTTTTAATAAAAATGTTTGCGTTTTGGGGTTGGGTTTTTTTTGGTGGTTTTTTTTGTTTGTTTTTTTTTTTTTTTTTAATGAATAGCTTTGAGTATTGGGTTGTAGTCTTTCTGTACCACAAATACAAGGAGTTAAGTGTCAGAAATGGACTCGGTGCCTTGCAGGAGGATTGTACAAAAGCATTTAAGCTTTACCTCAGGAAATGAGGATTTTCTGGAAGTCTTAAAACCTTTGCTTGAAATAAACTGAGTTCTTTTTAGTCCTTTGAAGCTCTTTAAAGTGTCCTTACTAATAGACTGAGATGGAGAGGAGGTTAAAAAAAAACAAACCAAAGGCTTTGTGAAAGTTTACTTGACTGGGTCAGCTGGTCAAAAATCAGTATTTTTGTTAGGGGACAGAATGCAGCTAGCAAAAAAAAAAAAAAAAAGTCTTTCTGACTGATTCTTTTTGCAGTCACCCCTTGAAGAAATACCTGTCAAAGGATACGGAACGATTCAGTGTCTTTAATCTAAGCATACATAGTCTTAGCTATACCAAGGGGGAAAAATGGTACAAATAACTTGTGATGCTGGAGATACGTAGGCTTCTTGAGTAGATTTGGCAGTTATAAAGATGTGTTGCCTCTTAGATGAGTTTTAAAAGACACTTGATTGAAATGTCTTCTGGCAGGTCATCTCTTCCCTTAGAATACCAAAACAAGGACTGTCACTGTAAAAGCAGATAACTCTGGCGTTTACATTTGTTCTTTGGATTATTGCTGTGAGTTAAAGTACAGGTAGGGAAGGTGCTTAAAAGATTATGGCTTTAAAACTGGCCTGTCTGGTTTTAGTTGTAAGTTCTAGTTCAAACTAGTCTGGCAGGTACATGTTAGAATTGGGGAGGCAGCTGTTGCAGGTGTGTCAGTGAACCAGAAGCAGCAGAAAGGAACGCTGCTGTCCAGAGTTTCACCAGATTCTGTTTCTCTACATGGTTGCTGAATCAGGCTGGTCTTTAACCTTTCACGAAGAACAAATAATTGCCCTTCTAATCATCAGTTATAAATGATGTACTTGCTACATGTATTGCTCTAAACAATTTGTTACGACAATTATGGGAGTTGGGGGTAGGGAAGAGAGCATGTGGGACAACTGCCTTCAGATGTTACCAACTCTGAGCACCACTCATGTTTGGCAGATGGCTCTAGACCCAACTGCCTTAGTGACAACCAGTGCTATGGAGTTACTCTGTCCTTTTGTATAAGCAGGTTCTTTGATTTCCACTGGGCTAATTTACAGGACATAATGCACTAAAACCAAATTTTTAATAAATCATGCACATAATACATGCTCATATACAGATATGGTTATGCATAAATGTATCTAGCAATGTCCTTACATTGCCTTGCTGAACCACTTAAAACTTGCAGTGGTAAGCCACCATCCTGTTTTTTGTTCTCCAGTGTGCTTATCTGTGGCTGGTAACTGTTCATGGGCACTGGGGTGACTCTGCCTAGAGCTAGTCTAAATTTAGGTAGTTAGCGTGAAATTGAAGTCTGGTTTAGCTTCTGTAGAGAAGCTTTGAAGTGTGTTACATTCATGACTTTTTGACCACTGTTAAGACCTATCTTTGAGCCTCTATGTGTGCATTACTGTTGAATCTGACCTACTGTAATCTCAAGAACTGGGAAGTGTGCTGTAGGTACTGCTGTGTGGTGTGGATTCAGTAGGCTTAGTAGCTCGAGTCTTGCCTTTGATTTTTTTTGCTGGGCAGAAATGCTTTGTAGTTCTTCTGGATTGTGGAAAACAATATGAACAGGATGCAGGATGATTTGATTTTGTCAGAAAGATGCATTTGCAAAGCCAATGAAGTTGCATAAAGGGGAGATATTATATGTAGAACCATGTAAGTGTGAGCTGGTTTGAGTTTAAGAGGCTTTAGGTGAGGAGTGATTGCAGTGGTCTAAGGCAGAATGAGAGTCCTTAGTGGCTGCTGCCTTTGCTTCCCACTGAACTTGAAGTAATTTTATATGGGCAATAAGATGGATAGCAGTTAATTTTACAGGTTAGTTAAGACACAGAGTAGATAATGAAACCTGGAGATACTAGGGAAGGTTCTGTGTTGTTAGGCCTAAAAATAAAAAGAAGTTTAAGTACATTTGGAAGCTAGAGGAATCTTAATTTGTATAAGCCTTTTACTGGACAAAGATAAAATTGTTGTTAATGGTGCAGAAATAAGTGTTCAATACAAATTTCCTTCCTGAATCTGAAAGGAGCAAAAGTCTATGATTATGTTGTATGAACTGCTTTGCAGACCATTAGTAACAAAAGAGGATGTTTTATAAACAACATTTATTAGGAGTAAATATTTTGACTTGTCCCATAGTCCCTGTGAGGAGGAGAGCTCGTTTGTTAACAAAACAATAAAAAACCCAAACAAAACCCCCACCCTGGTATAAAAGGATGATTCCAGAAGATGGAAATAAATGTTCATGTTTCATGCCAATACTCAAAAAAACCCCCAAAAAACCAAAGAAGTATAAACTGGAAAACTATAAGTCAGGTTGCCTGATGTCAATCACAGGGAAAATCGGAAACTCTGACAGGGAATTCTGTTCACAAGGAAAAAGTGTAATTACGTTTCAGTCAGCCTGTCTTTCTTAGACAATAGGCTTTGTCAAACTTGTTCTCGGTCATTGCGATTACAAATTCAGTAGTCTAGTTGTGTAGGTACACAGTTGTTACACTTGACTTTAAATGTCTCAAGACTGGCTCATCTGCACATCTCGAAGGTGTCTGGTTTATTGTCTACTGGAGTTCTGCTAAAACAGTATTAGATTTCACACTCCATTAAGGTCAGTAATCTGAGAGTAGGTGTGAAATCCTTGCAGATTAAACTTGCAGGGAGGCAGAAATAATGACACAAACTGTATAGATCTGTCTTACGTACCTTAGTAACCTAGACACTAAAAAATGCAAGGTGTGCTCTCTGCCCACCCTTTTCTTTATAAAGCCAGATGCATCATTTTGCATTTAGGAGGAAGAATCCAGGCTGTATCTGGAGATTTGAAGTACAGATCAGCACTGTTGCTCTTGTTTGTAGATAAATATTCTGAATACCATTGGTGTGAAGTTTTGGTGTTAGTGTTCTAGAAGAGTTGAAAGTGATGTTGGTAAAACTGATTGTGGGGATAAAAGAGTTGCAAAACATTTTTGAGGTTTTAGTAGAATGCTTTGTAAACAAGGATTTATTTTAAAGGCACACTTTTCATCAGTGAGGCTGGTTAAGCTCTGGAACTGTGAAAGAGAGACTTTCTTATGAGGAAATTGAACTCAAAATGCAGAACTTCTTTTTAGTCTCCATGGTAGTGGTTGAGTTTAAGGCAGTAAGTGTACTGGGCTGCAGTGAACCCAAGTTGTCTTGTTTAGCCTTACAGAAAGTACTGAGGAGCTGGGGAGCATAAACTGAAAGAAGACTACTAATATTCTGTTCAAGTGCTAATGGGAGGTAGGTTTTTTTGCTCTTCATTCATTGAAATGACATCAGTATGAAATACTTCAAATAGACCAGGTCAAAAAGACCTCGAATATAGGAACTGCGCCAAGACGAGTTCCATTTTGACTTACTGGCAGAGCAGTCTTGGTTATGGTCAAGTATGGACTTGTTCTATGGATGACTTTTTTTTTTTTTTTCTTTTTTTGTGTGAGGACACCATTTCACCACATTTTGCTTTTCTGGACTTGTGTTGAGAGCATCTCCTGAGATGGTGCGGCTCTTAGGGCCAGTTCTTTTTATTGTTGTTTCCTCATTTTAGTTTGTAGTTTAGCTTTCATTCCTGGATGAAGAAAGGGAAATCAGTGAAGTTCCATGCAGCTTTAAAGGCAAAGACAAAATTTCTGGAAGGTTTGTCTTCAAAGCCTGAGGTGGCTGGCAGTGCCCCTGTTACAGGAACACAAAAGAGAAGGGGTAAGGTTACAGGATCTGCCAAGTACTTCTGGTTTGGGAAGTACTTTTTATTTATCCATTTAGGTTTTTTCCCTGCATACTCATCTTGCACAAAGTAGAATTGCAATGGCATTAGTTTCTTTCAGAGTTTAACAGGTATGTTTACTCGACTCATCCAAGGTGAAGCTGAGTCTCTGTGTGGTGTAGCAGCTAATCTGCTGTAGATAGGACTTGTCATCTCCTATTTAAGAGTTTAAAGTATGTTCTAACTGGAGCAGTCCTGAAGTTTTGCTGAGCTCATGAGGTTCTTTGCAGTTGCTCAGGGTTAACTGAAGAAAGGGATTCTGAAATAATTTTCCCAAGGATCATGTTCACAAAATCATTGGATTGTTTTGCATGCCAAGTGCTGAAATTGTTCCATTAAATGTGCTTAAAGTGACATCACTCTTCACCATCTTTTTGTAGAAACAATTTTCCTAAAGATAGCAAGATACAGTTTAGATCTTAAGATTGAGTGAAGCCTGACCAGCAAGTTAAATGGGTGTTTATATTACATACCAGTCTGGCCTGTGAGCCAGAGTGAGTGTCAGCACTTGGAAGGATGTTGGTGGCTCTGGGTAACTTGCGGTCGATTGTTGGGTAGCTGTTGTTTAGTATCAGCCTGATTTCAAGCCTC